TGCATTTCAGGAATTATAAACAGATGTTTCCTATTAAAAATACATTTGATTTGCAAATGACCTTGATAGTCACAGTCAAGGTCACGAACATACTTGAAAAGATGTAGTTTTCCTTTAAGAAAACTGTCTAGACACTAGACCTTTAAATGAGAAACGTATTTTTCGAGATATTTTCCTGTCTAGGTACATACTTTTTGGACAGTAACTGGCAATTGAATCGATCTCCGCGCATGCCGTGGACAAAAAGGAAAAAATCTTCAGACGGATAGTGGAACAGATGCGTCTCCAAGTGCGGACCTAGGATTTCGTCTAGGGCCGGGGTGGGGTGGGGGTTGTGTAGGGGGTGGCGCAAACGGTATTTGGGGCTAATAAATTTTCAACATAAGTGGAACTTCTAGAATTTATCCTATTATTGCTCCTTAAATCCATTGAATTCTATCTGGTCAATGCCAGCTTGAAAAAAAAAACATGGAAAATGCTAAGAAATCCTCAGTAAGGCAATATTTTATTATATGAGAACAAAATCATTAAGTGGCATTTATAATTAACTAGTGTAATACCATTAAATATCAAAATATATATAAAACTTCATTGTTGTGTAAACCGAAAAAAAATGATCTCATATAAAAATGTTGGAAATCTTTGGGGAACACTACGTCTGTTAGATCGTATTTATTTTGATAATGTATGTTTGCACGGAACAAGTACAGGAATACCGCGCTGTACATATTCACGTGGAGTGCAGAAGCTCTATGATTTAAATGAACTGAATATAGCAACATAAATAGACACATACGCGGTAAGAGATGCGGGATGGATGGTATTGACTTTAGCATCGATCGACGCATGGACAGGCCACAGGCGAACGGCTCAACAAACTTCATCAATGTCTATTTCCAATTTAGACGTTCATCTAACATAGTGCTTCTCTGCAACACCAACCCCGAACAAAATTAGTCAAACTTTACATACTTTTCAGATTACTATTGGGCAACAAACAGAATAAATCTCTTTTTAGTGCAATCTGTATAGCTAATATATTACTTATACTTAGCTTTGTCACAATCACAAAACTCGTATATACGTATAAATTGTAAGAAGTGATGTCAAAGAGGGACAGCGTTTGGAATACCAAAGGATACCAAGAAATCGCAATGCTCAGTTCCTATAGCTTTAACTTATACAGGGTTTGTCCGGAAAGTAATAGGATGAGTCGATTTAAAAAAATTTATTGAGCCAATCGTTACAATTCTTTAAAAACTTTCAAAATAGGCTCCTTCTGCGTCGATGCAGCGCTGCCAGCGCGATTTCCAAGCATTGAAGGCGTCACGGAAGGCATTCTCCGGAATAGCCTTGAGAGCCGCGGTGCATGTGATCCCCTCTGTCGTCTCAAAATGCTTGCCTTTCATTGGCCTTTTTAGTCAAGGAAACAAAAAAAGTCCGGGGGGGGGGGCACATCTGGGCTGTAGGGCGGCTGCGGAAGCGTTGGGATTCCGGCCTTGGTCAGGTAGCTGTTCACAAGAAAGGTGGTGTGAGCCTGGGCGTTGTCGTGGTGCAACTTCTAGTCGGCTGCGATGTCTTGTTGGACCCGACTGACTCTTCGTTTGAGTCTCCTGAGCACTTCCACGTAAAACTTGGCGTTGACGGCTTATCAAGGAGGAACAAATTCATGGTGGACGATGCCTTTGATGTCAAAAAAGACAATGAGCATCATCTTCATTTTGGATTTGCTCATTCTTCCCTTTTTTGGGCGAGGAGACGTCGTCGTGTGCCACTCGGAAGATTGCCTCTTTGTCTCGGGATCATACACAAAGATCCACGACTCGTCACCTGTGATTACGTTATTCAAAAATTGGGGGTCACCTTCACACAAATGTTCAAATCTTCTTGGCACACTTCCACTCGCCGCAATTTCTGGTCGTCAGTGAGCACTTTTGGGACCATCTTTGCGCACACCTTGCGCATGTTCAAATGCCGTGACATGTCATGGACCACAGATTTTGATAAATTAAACATCTGGGCAATTAAAGGAATACTTAGTCGACGGTCTGAGTTCAAAACTTTGCGCAAACTAGTCACATTATCGGTGTTTGTCGAAGTCGAAGGTCTTCCAGCACGATCTTCATCAGCGACCTCTTCCCGGCCCTCCAACAAGGCCTGATGCCACCGAAACACACCACTTCTTGCTAAAGCAACACCTGGGTAAGCCTGCTTGATCATATCAAACGTCTCTGTCGCAGATTTACCGAGTTTCACACAGAATTTAATCGCGTACCTCTGCCCTAACGAACGCTGCATTTTCGGCTTGCACCACTCACAGAAACACGTCGCGCGAAAATGCCTTGTCCTGACTCTCCAAGTGCTCGGAGACAACTGACCAGCCGCTCATTCGCTAGCTAGGAACGCCCTCTACTACCGGATCCAGTAGTTAGTATGCCTCCGTCGCCACGATGTGTCAAGTCAAAAAGTAACGCAATTGTGTTAGATTACGAAAGCAAGTGTCAGACGTCTAGAACCCCCCCCCCTAAATCCGCCACTGGTGGTCTATATGCTGATATCTGTGTAATGCGGGGTCAGTTGAGATTTGGCAATGATGCAAATATTTCACTGTCATCATACCAGATCACAAGAGTGTTGTCAGTTTGAAGTTCAAACTGACCTCAAAACGACTAAGTGTCTGTCATTTTGTACTAATACACAAATACTTCTGTCCGCGATCTGCTGGTTGACACTGTCAGCGAATTAACTTTCTGTTTCAACATGCTTCACTAGTTTGCTTTTTCACGACTACCCCGTTACAGCGGTTTTAGGAAGTTAATTTTAAATGGACACGTGTATTCATAGAAGCTCCGCCACATAAGCAACACTATACTGCACAGAGAATGAATAGCCTTTCGCCCACCTCCTAGCAGATGCATTACGTTCGGGATAATGTGGCAAAAATAGCTTACTTGGGCGCTAAACAGGCGTAAACGGTAAAGTTTAGGGTAGCTGTAAGGTCAGGTGTTGCCAGACTCACTACGTGGGAGTAACTCAAGCTAATGGGAGGACTGTACCGCCATTAAGGAATCTATACATAAATTGCTGTATACAGGGTACAGGATGTTGCCAGAGCATAGAGTGAAGAGGGTTGGGCTGTTTAGCATCCTATAGGTATCCGCACAAGTGCAATGGGAAAACACTTTTGGTGGCATCGAATGGCTACTTGCCAATTCGGTAGTCGATATCACGGTGATATAAAGTGCTCACGAGATCTGGATTCGAAAACTTAGTTTCTCTACCAGCATGCTGACAGTTGCAGTTTCCGCACGCATAACTGCGCTTTTACTATTACTATTGTTTTCCGCACTTTCCGCACTTGTTAGGTAAATAACTATTTTGGCCAGGATTGAGGTAAAATATCAGCTTTTTCTTTAGATCTATAATAAGAAAGTGGGGGATTATATGTCCTACTGGTGTCTGAAATAAAGAAATATTAGGCCTACTTTCCATGAAAGCTGCTATGCTATAATTTTGATAAAATTTTCACATAAGGCCACTATGTCAGAGACGAAAAATCTTTGTAGTTCTTGGCCCATCTGTAACGTGGAAAGTACCGCTCGAATTTTGATAAAATTTTCACATAAGGTTGCTATGTCAACGACGAATAGGATTTCTAGTTCTCCGAAACCGGCCCGTGGCAGCGTAGAAAAAGGCCAAGAACGAAAAAAAATAAGAATCGCTCAAACTTCGTTTTTTGACGTTTCAGATGATCCTGATCATTCTCAAAAAAGATGCAGAGGTTAAAATTTGGAGGTTGGTGATAGTAGGGAGAGTATATAACAATTTTTTTGAAGCTAGCAATTTAGACGTTTGCAGCCCCTGGTAATTCTACGCACCTATACAAATCGGTTTTGTACATTTGGCCTTAAAACTTGAATGATCGAGATATGTTTTCGATATATGCGTGCCGGAAAACTCAACGAGCGAACGTGTATCTACTTGGAATCCTGGGGGATAACTGAATGATAATGCTTTTATTCATGTATGCAAGCCCTTGCTGGGTTGCCGTCTTGCTCGGTGGTCTGTGCTGTTGGGAGGGCGCTAGGCTAGATCATAATGTTGTCAAATCTGTGGAAACTGTGGACTAATTGTATGTGCCGGTTAAACTAAGATGATTCACTTGATTGTTTTGTTATTCCTGTTTGTAGCCAACCTTTTTCTTACAGGGACTAACTTGTGCTGACTATAATCAGTTATGAACTGATGACAGCTTTGCGAAAATCCAGGAAAAAAGACTATAATAAGACGGCAACAGATCCTGGGGGTCACCGGTATGCAACTCCTACCTGCTCCAATATTGGCGAGAGTCAAGGTGCCCCGCCAGACCGAGACACTCTACCCGACAAGGATGCCTTAATCAGTCAGCTATTGGAGAACAATAAAAAGCAGCAGGAAACGATAGCAATGCAGACGAAGCTTATTGAAAAGGTGGCAGTGCAAATAGAAGAGTTACAGAGCTAAATTAAGAAATTACTGAAGGAGAGTGAATCGCCAAAGAAACGTCAGTAAACACCCAAGAAGAGCTTTAAAGTATCGAAAAGCTGTGGTTGACGATGTCGGAATTGGAATTGCCCCCAAAACAGAGGATGATTATAGAAAACTTGTACGCTTTCTAAAAGAAAAAGAAATAGCACACTATACTTTCACCTCCCTGGAGAAAGAAACATTTAGGCGGTCCTTAGGGGAATACCTACAATTGCGGAGGGATGTGTAGTGAAGAAAGAGCTGATATCAAGGGGATATAAGTCTCTTCATAGAATTCGCCTAAAAAAAAGAATGACGGGAGACCCATGCCTCTTATAGTTGTGGTACTGCCGGAGGTAGCCAAGTCTAATGACATTTTCAATGAGCGTAAACTAATCTCTGTGGAGGTGTAACGATCTTCTGAACAAATCGGTCAGTGCCAAGCGCTATCAGAGATATGGTCACTCCCAGTTATATTGTACGGCACCTCCTAGATGCGAGAAGCACCTCACGCATCTGTGTCCACTTATGATGCCAGAACCTGTGCAAACGGTCGCCAAAATCATCCAGCAAATAGCTTAGGCTGCAAATTTGCCACCAGAAAAGACACCGAACTCTTACAAGAGCGACAGCAGAGAGCTACTTCTCTAAATTCGAACACAATTTACGCTGCTGTTGCATCGTCCAGCAAAACAAATTTGAACGCTTCACAGTCCGCCCTAGTTATAGCTCTTCTTCTGCACGCAACACACAAGGCTCTTTCCGCAGCCAGTAACAGGGCCGTAAATAAATGGTAATAAATAAACTATACTCCGGCTCAAGTACCTAAACTAAAAATGCCCCTAAATTATAAATCTTTTGGCAATACTCTTACCAAATTAAGCACCTTTCGGAATACACATTTGATAAATTCCTTTCTTATTAATTGATTCTTTTCTTCCTTTCTTTTGTTTTCCTCTACCTTCTACTTAATAAAAATCTCACTGGCTGCGCTCAGGAAAATTTTGAAGAAAGAAAACATCGGTCTGCCAGACAAAAGCCAAAGACCGATCAAACAACAAACGACGAGACGAGACAAGCAAGTGCAATGTTAACCTAATTGACGTGATCTTTTAGCTAGGGTAGCATGCTTTCATGCTTTCTAAAAATATTATTTTCAAACCAGTACAGAATGGGACAAGAAATAGTAGTTCTCTATTTGGTCTTGTCCATCCCAGGCGATCTAAATGTTTGCTTCGATTTTTTTTTAAAATGATCTCATCAGAATATTGTTTGACCAGCACGGAAGCATCTTGAAAACTGAAAACATGAGGATACTGCTATTTGACCTGGAGCCCTGGTATGATATAAGATACATAAATGAGAGGACCTCCCACTTATCAAATTGCACGTCATTGCTCAGGATCTGCCTGCCTTTGGAGTGAATAAATCTCAGTAGACGAAATTCAACGACAAGCCGAGAAAGCAGTATGGGTTCTATATCCATATCGTGGTGCACATGTATGCCGTTTGCGGCATGTTACAATGTTAGCCCCAATCGTACATGTTTCCATAAAACGAAATCGGTGACCCGCGTACTGCCTAATAGCTGTCCTCGACATCAGCTTTGCTGTTCGTATTGACAAATCGAATTCGTCCCCTATCAAATTCGGTATTTCTCAAAATCCCCGAGCAAACCGTCGCAGATCCCCCATCGCACTTCTGTTTCTGCCTATTCTGCTGCCAATCCCCATAAATAAGATGTAAATAGGGATACTTGCCGTCCTTTACGATACATTTTGCGGCCAGATAGCATTTGTTTCTTTGGGGGTGGCCGACGATAAAGCCCTTTGACTTTTGCCCAACTGATTCTTTGTCTTTGACACGGACGATTTAGCTTCTTGTCTGCCGGGAAAGTTTGCGATAAAAACGAAAATGTGTGACGGGAGAGGTAAGCTCTCTAATTTTTGAGCGCTGTTAAGTCTGGGAAAAATTTGTAGATAAACAAAAAAGGGTGAAGCTTGAATGAATAGAGGCTGAATTGTATCTGTTTGCTTTGTACCTCACTTACCATGATCAACTGTGTACAACGTCGTTTCATGCTACTTAGTAATCATCAGTCTGCTTAAAAACTCAGTACGAGGGATGTATTTTAAGTTTTGCATATAGAAACATAGTAGGCCGCGCGGACCAAACGTCAGTACTGAATCTTAACCTCACTCTTTAGTAAACTCAAATTCAAAGTTTCACATCAATATGTGAAGTGTTCTCACTACAGTGAATTTCTAAGTGTCACCAAGTCATTAGAAACATGGAACTCAACCGAGAACATTTTCGCGCCATAATTTATCACAACTTTCCGAGACAATTATCGCAACAAGAATGCCTTGCTGAGTTACTGTCTGTTTTTGGCAACGAAGCGCCACATCAGTCGACAATTTCCCGATGGTATAAAGAATTAGTCTTAGCGACGTTCCCGTTTCTGTCAAAAACGGGTCATATTGCAACAATTCCTCTGAATGAGCAAAGATCTGTTACTGCGGATCAGTATACCACCATTTGCTTGCCAAAGGTCATCACCGAGCTTCGAAAAATCAACCCCGAAAGAAGAATCGTCCTCCACCAAGACAATGCAAGCTCGCACACAGCCCAAAAAACAAGGCGGTATTTAACTGAAGAAATCGTGGAATTATTGGACCATCCTCCATATAGTCCCGATCTAAGTCGTAACGATTTATTTACTTTCCCGAAAATTAAAACTTTCAGAGACAATTATCGCAACAAGAATGCCTTGCTGAGTTACTGTCTGTTTTCGGCAACGAAGCGCCACATCAGTCGACAATTTCCCGTTGGTATGGAAAATTTGAACGTGGTAAAAGATGGTCGCGACATTTGTGTCAAAAGCGGGTCATATTGCAACAATTCCTCTTAATGAGCAAAGATCTGTTACTGCGGATTAGTATACCACCATTTGTTTGCCAAAAGTCATCACTGAGCTTCGAAAAATCAACCCCAAAAGAAGAATCATCCTCCACCAAGACAATGCAAGCTCGCACACAGCCCAAAAAACAAGGCAGTATTTAACGGAAGAAAACGTGGAATTACTGGACCATCCTCCATATAGTTCCGATCTAAGTCCTAACGATTTCTTCACTTTCCCGAAGATTAAAAACAGACTGCGTGGTCCAAGGTTTCAGACACCAGAGGAAGCAGTTGACGCATATAAAAATGCCGTTTTGGATCTGCCAGCAAACGAGTGGAATAAGTGCTTCGAAAATTGGTTCGAGCGCATGCATAAAGTCTTTTAAAACTACCGTGTTGTTTTATTTCCATATGCAAAACTTAAAAGACATCCTCGTATGTAGTGCGAGAATAGATGATACTGTCATCTATGTGTATGCGACTCTAGCTCTACAAATGCCAGGAAATGTACATTTGTAGAAAACAATAGTCTGACATTTTTAGAAAACAATAGTCTGAATAGAGACTACTCTTAGGACAATTGAGTGGACCTTTAACAGTAGACAGTATTTACGGAGTAAATGTTCAAGGGTGTTTTTCTCCGAAAATGCTCATGATACTGGTATATCAGGTAATTTAATGTAATACCCTTTTGGCAAATTTAATAAAACTAGGAGAGGAGGATCATCGGGGATATAACACCTGGGTTGATTTTTATTTTTTCTACTGAAATTTCAGGGCTCTCTTGATTTTTGTAGCTCTAGACGAAGAACTTAAAAGTGATATCAGAATCAAGGCTGAGTGTTTTCTAATGTTTTGATGGATTTTTTTAGCTGCATCAAACGTGAGTTCCTCAAGAGACCGATCATCCAGGAGGGACTACAGTCCGTCTTGAGCCCTGCGTCCGGAAGCTTTTCGATTGTCACCATCTCAGGGGGGTAAATGCAACGTGTTGATCTTTATTTTCAATTTGGATTGGGTCATTTGATTACGTTTTTTGCAGGGACACAAACCGACTGTTGGATTGTGACTACTTTTTCTTTGGCACTCCAATAAAACCAGCATATTCTTCCAAAATTCTAAGGACACGAACCGAGGTAAAAGATCGTAGAGCTTTTTCCACTAACATCCATAATTGAACGAGTCGTGATTGTTATCAAAATTAGTTTTAAGTGATCTTTGTTTAATCAGATGAAAAAAATTATTTTTCGACTTTCTAACATCTGGATCCACTATTGGATCTCCATTTTCATGGGCTTTTTTCAATATACGTTTGTCAGTTCTTTGTTCAAACGATTTCTAGGCTGTTGCTATTTGTTTAGAAAAATAGGATATTTCGATATTCAAACAACAATATGGTATGTATTTTGGGGAGAAGCAAAGAGAAATACTCTTCTGGCTTCTTAGAAGCATTTTTAAGCCTTTGGGGAAACAGGATCATTGCATTATAAGGCAGAGGTTGTAGTATTGAACGTAAATTAAAAGTTTTATCAAAATTACAAGAACTTCCGAATTTCAGAGTGAGGGAACTAGAAACGAAGTTGACATCAGCTAGAGTTCTGCCCAAAGAGCAATCAAAATACACCTATTTACACCAAGCTCTTTGTTAACAGTATTTCGGAGCTCACGAGTTAAACAATACATATTGCAGAAAATAAATGGAGACAGAAAATCCACACTGAGACAAATAGATTTTCAAAATAAATGGCGAATGGATGTTTTAGGAGGAGTTACTGGCAATGAAATTGTTAGACATTTTTCTTCGAAGATCTATTGAATGGAAAATGATATGAGAATGTGAAGATTTTGAGATAATGTTTGCCACAACATTTACTAGGAACTCACCAAGTAATGTTTTCTTCTATATGATGATGTACCACCACATTATGGCCATATTGTGCCTGAGTATTTCAATGACCGTTGTACAAATCGTTGGATATGGTTATGGCGGACCTATCGTTTAACACGCCAAGTCACCAGATTTGCTTCCTTTGGACTTATATCTGTGGGGTTATGTAAACAACAGTGAACACACGCAAGAAAGTGTGAAACAAATGTTCATTTAAAGACTTTAATTGCGTGTTCAACATAATAATAATAATAATAATAATATTTATTCACTCAATGTACAAAGATAACAAACAATATGAGTAAATAAATATAAAATCAAAACAGGCCCAATAGAAGGCATCGCCTGTACATGGACCAATAATTTAAGTTGAAACTGTAGAATGCAAATGACAAAAAAGGACAAAAATTAGCTACAGTAGATTATGTATTTAGTTGATGTTCGTATTTATGAGTTTATGAATTTCAGTCCTAGATATAGAATGTAGCCACTTTTTTAAATTTCTTTTGAACCAATTTCCGAAACGTAAATCTTTTAAGTCTTTAGGTATAATTTCATAAAATTTAGGCGCTAAATAGAGATATGATCGCTCCATTATAGATTTATGCGGTTGAGGAACTACTGTGCCACGAATTTTGTACCTGGTATAATGATTATGTTTAATTTTTTGGTCGGTGTTTACAAATTTATGGTAGTGAGTGATACTGTGTAAGAAATAAAGCTGTCTTATATCATACATTCGAACATCTGCGTATAATTTTTCAGTGGGATAAAGTTTCGGTTTTTTAAATATCATTTTTAGAATACTTTTTTGAAAAACATCTAAATTATAGATATGTGAGGAACATGCAGCTCCCCATGCTAATATACCATATGTGAGATGAGGCTCAATCAGTGCATGGTATAATGTTCGAAGATATTTTTCTGTCAATATATTCCCAAGGTATTTAATTTTGTAGGATACAAATCTAACTTTCTTTAAAATATAATTGACATGGATGTCCCATCGTAAGTGAGGATCCAAGACCACTCCAAGGTATTTTATGTTGGGCACTCTATCAATTTGCATTTTTTGATTATTAATATTGAAGGAGAAATTTGTGTAATTTGGCAGATGTCTAGCATAAGATCCAAATGGTAAAAAATGTGTTTTAGAGTAGTTAATGCTTAATTTTCTACTGTTAAACCACCGAATAATTTTGATAAAATCATAAAGGGAACACCTTTGAACATTTTTTACAAGTATCAGGTAACCAAGTAAGTTCGTGCGGTTTTTAGTAGAAAAATACATTTTTTTCATTCATTGACCTTTTGCCAACGTGGAAGCAATTTTTGTATGCCGGTATTGTAGAACTCCCTGGATTTGGAGTAAAAAAACTGGCGGATTGCATTTATTACACCATCTCGAGTTGTGAACTGTCGGTCCCTCATATAGTTGTCAAGAGACAAAAAAAGGTGATAATTACTGGGCGAAATGTCGGGAGAATATGGCGGGTGCGGTAACGTATCCCAGCCGAGTTCAAAAATTTTTTCTCGGGTCACTTTTGCGGTATGAGGCTTGGCGTTATCCTGCAAGAATATCACTTTCTTCCGATTGATCTAAGGAGGCTGTTTCTGGATGAGTGCTGCTCATAACGGACAATTTCAGTTGCTGTCTGCCAAACACACAACAAAACCTTGTTTGGGTGCAAGGCAGCCTTGGGCGTGTGTGGTATCGAATCAGTAGGCGACAACTAATGATACGAACGCTTAGAGTTCGAATACAAGATCCATTTTTCGTCGCAGGCTAGTAACCGAAATGGTTCATTAGCGTTGCGTGAAATGTTTGCTGAACAAATGGTAAGACGACTTAATTTGTTATCCTTTGTCAGTTCATGTGCTTCTTTCCTAGCTGATCAAGATGCAAACGAATAGTTTTAAGACTCACTCTGAACATTTCTGCAAGTTCTTGGTACGTTGTCCTGGAATCTGCGTCCACAACCTGTCGAAGATCCTATCGATCAACAACATCCATGGCAATGTGCGATATACAACAGCGGCACGAACTAATTTTTTTAACTGATAGTTTAAATTTCAGCTAGACACCTGAAGAAACTAATTTTATATTATATCAATTTGTAATCACCAATTACAACATAAGCGCATTAAATTACTTGGATTCTTGTCAAAAACCTAAAGATAAAGACGGAATGTCAATAATATTGTTTTTTGTTTTCATGGATGATGTGACTTGTTTGAATTATCTAAAGCAGTAGTATCCAACTTTTTGAAACAAATAAATATAACGCAAAAAACGTTTGAACACACTGGTAAGAACGTTGTATTAAAAAAAGAAACTCGTGAAAATGGGAATTCAAATTAAAAAAAGTTACGGGACGTTCCACTCAATTTCTTTGCGAAAAAGTATACAGCGTGACTTTGAATGTCACGTATTCCTGTTAAGGGGTGATAGATTAGGTCAAAAGCAACCGATTTTGTCCTATCATGTCTTATCTAAAAGTTAACCAATTTTGAGTTGTTTGAATTTTTAGTTTTTTATTTTTTATTCAGATTTCAGACGGTTAAAATTGAAATACAAAAAAAACTGCATGCTTGATTTTGAGTTTTTTGTTATCGTCGCATAGCCGACATTCCAATAGTTCATAATAAGTAATGAAATGTTGAAAAGCTACAAACGTTTTAAAATTACGCTTTTTAAATGTATCATTTTCGTTTTTTTTACTAACTTATTCGATAAAAAATGCAATTTTCTGAAAAAAACCTAGTAATGAAATGCAAATAATATCTCTATCTAACAGGCTTTCATTTGAAGTATTAAGCGTTCAATTATCTGAAGTACATACAGAGGAACAACAATGACACCCACAGAGGCTGGATTTTTAAGGAATTTGTATTACCTGTTTGAACAAGTCGTTACTGTCCTCAAAGGACTCGCATGCCATGATTGTTTTATGGCATCGGCTCGACGAGGAAGCGAGCGAGAAGAGTTGACTTAGTGGAGCAGTGAGAGAGAGAGAGCTGTTGTTATTCATCATTGTAGTTACGCCATCGCCGCACGCCGAGTGAGAATTAGGTTTAGTTGGTACACAGCCTTCTTAAACTAACAAGCCATGCTGAAGAAAACTGGCAACAATGCATGGTAGTCCGATAATTGTCTCCCACGCCCATTGTTTGGATTGTGTTCACGGTGTGTATGAGCAAAATAAGGTGTTATATTTGAGTGTCTTTCCTCGAAAAAGGGATATGTTATTGATCGAATAACAGATTTCATCAAAAAGTGTGTATACATCATTATCAATTACGGTAAGTTCATAGAAAACTGCATAAATGTTCTTTTCTAGGTTATGTATGCAAAAAGCATTTTTCCTGTAAAATATTCCAAAAAAATGTAGTAGTTATGTTTTTGAACATATTTCTCTGCTTTAAATCATATATATGGTGTTTCTCTATAGTTGTATCTGTTTAGAATTATTTGAATCAATTAATAAATGCAACTGTCTATTGTTTTAGATGCCTCGTCGGTGTTGTGTTCCTGGTTGTAAGGGAAACTATGATACCACTCTGAAAGCTGAGGATCCTGTCTCTACATTTTCATTCCCAAAAGAACAAGAGCTGTTGGAAAAATGGATCAGGGCCATACCAAGAAAAGACTGGATTCCTACAAAAAGTAGTGCAGTTTGTGCCAACCATTTTTGTGACAGTGATATTGTGCGGTTCAGTGAATTTACTTTGCCCAATGGACAAATAAATAAAATACCTCTGAAATACCCCAAATTAAACCAGAACGCTGTTCCAAGTAAGTTTTGCAATCTCCCAAAATATCTATCGCTTGAAACCAAAGCAAAAAGGACTGACCCCGAAAAAAGAAGAGAAGCCATTATCCAAAGACAAGAAGAAGGAATTGAAAACTTTTTAAAAACTGATATCATATCTTCTTTCTCTGATTTGAAGGAGAATTTTGAAAAACAATGTATTTCTAACTGGGAATATAAACTACATGACCACAACTTGTACTTTTACAACTTAACCATCGGTGAGTGCTTGACAGTGAATAATACAATTAAAATTGATGAGTCCCTACATGTTAAGGTTTTTTTAAGAGGAAATGAACTGACAGCAAGTGACCTAAAATGGATTTTGCCATGTAATTTAAAATTAGAGAGATGGTCACAGCTAAACAATTTATTATCTCATTATAATTCAACAAATAATTTTAATGAATCACTTTCAATAATGGACCTGCTTAACAGAGCAATAGAATTGATATCAAAAGCTTATGTCAAATGTGAAGATGAAGCATTTGCTTAACAAACATCTTGAATTAATCATTGACCAGTTGAAGCAAATGGTTTTTAACAAAAATCGGTATTGTCCTGCAACAATTATCATGTCATTTATAATATATTCCCAGTCTCCATCTTGCTACAATGTTATAAGAGACTTTTTTGTGCTTCCTCATAAAAGATACCTCCAAAGTATCTCATCATCTTTACATGTCTCACCTAGAGATGATATGAATAACAAAAATTACTTGCTTAATATCTGTAAAGGGCTTTCTGATAATGAAAAAATAGTAGCATTGATTATCGATGAAATATATGTATCAAGTAGGATGGATTATAGATCACAAAGTTTAGTTGGCTCTGCGGAAAATGAAAATTCTACTGGTGACTGTGAGTTTGCCAAAACAATTGTAACATTTATGATAAGTTCAGTCTTTGGTCAAATGAATGAAGTTATAAAACTGTGGCCTGTACATAATGTTAAAGGGTTAGAACTAGCAAAAATGACTAAAGATGTGATTGATTTAGTCCAAGCCTGCAATTTCGAAATTATATGTATAATAACAGATAACCATTCAATAAACAGAATTATGTTTAAAAATCTCTCGCATAATGGATTTTGGTTCTCCAATCCAAAAAGTTCTGAAAAAAACATATTTCTTTTATTTGATTTTGTGCATATATTCAAAAATATTTGGAAAAATTGGATCAACCTTAAAAACCTTCATAAAACTTTTGTTTGTTATGATTTTACAAATGACGAATTGAAATACGCAAAATTTCAACATATTGAAAATATTTATGAGAAAGAAAAGTGTTTATTGACTAAACAAGCATACAAATTGAATTTTAAATCTTTGTATGCTTGCAGACTCGCATAACTCACAGAAGAAAAGAAAGATGTGTACCTTTCATAAATGAGTTAACCTATGTATATGAAATATTATATTATATTATATCTCATTTAAGCTTAAGTTGTGTAGTTAAAAATTGTGTTCTAGATAGTAATATGTTGATGCTCAAGGAACTTTTATAAAATTTCTTTCTAATAAATATTGTATGTTTTGCAGTTATTTAATTTGTTTTATTTCACCACTATACTAAATACAAACTCTCATGCCATACTATCAGCTTAGGAAATTATATTATAATTTTCAACATATTTTATACTCTGCTGCAGTCTCTGCATACCCCTGCATAGTTGCATACCCGTATTGTGATTAGATTAGCCACAGCCTGGATTAGCCTATTGTAGTCGTCAGACCACCGCAGCGCGTCGGACTACCCATAACAGCTGATGCGACGTTGCCACATATATGAGCACGGCTTGTTAGTTTAAGAAGGCTGTGGTTGGTATCAACTACTGCGTACGCGCACACGTTTTACGCACGATTATTATTTTCGAGTTTCCCAGTTCATTTCGTGTGGTTTCTTTATCATCATGGCAGACGCAGAAGATCCGCCAGGACCTCGCCATAGCGAGCACGGGCAAACTTTTACAAATGAAGAATACGCAGACATAATATTCTGTTATGGACTTTGTAACGGCGATTCTGCAGCTGCCCGCCGTGAAAATCGGCAACGTCTCCCGAATCGCCGAACACCTCATGTTACTGTGTTTGACTCTGTGTATCGGCGCATCCGCCAAACCGGACGTGTTCAAAGGCAACATAGTGATGCTGGTCGACCCCGAGTCTATCCTCCTGAAGATGGAGAGGAAATCTTTCGTGTGCTTCAGGAAGACCCTACTACGTCTACGCGCATTGTGGCTGCTCAGTTGGGTATATCACAATACAAAGTATGGTTTACTGTGCATACTGCAAGGTTATACCCTTATCACTACACGCCTGTGCATGTGATTGAAGAGGGCGATCCTGCAAGACGATTAGATTTCTGCAGGTACATGTTACATGCAGATACAGAAGATCCAGACTATTTTAAGAAAATTCTGTGGACCGATGAATCGAAGTTTGATACGGACGGGATCACTAACTACCATAATGCTCATTACTGGGCTGATAAAGAAGCTTTGAATCCCCAAAATTTAAGACCGACGGGGTCTCAGAACTGGTTTTCATTCAATGTGTGGATGGGCATCATTGATGGATATTTAATTGGAAATCATTTTCTGCCCGCCAATTTGATTGGAGAAGTGTGTGAAGAGTTCTTGAAAAATCACTTGTTTCCATTAACGGAAGACGTCCCATTGGCGATGAGACAAAATATGCAGTTCCAGCACGACGGCTGTCCCGCACACTACAGTAGATTAGTACGGGCGTATTTAGACTCTAAATTTCCAAATCAATGGATTGGCAGAGGCGGGCCTATTGCCTGGCCAGCAAGAAGCCCAGATCTCACACCGATGGATTACTATGTGTGGGGACATATGAAAAGCCTGGTGTACGATGTTTCGCCCGTACCAACGCGCGATGAATTAATTACAAGGATAATCAGTGCAGCTGAAATAAAAAGCCGCTTAATAACTAGAGTTACCAAAAGTGAATTACGTAAGAGAATGCGGGCGTGTATTCGTAACAGGGGATTACAATTTGAGCAGGATCTGTAAAATACTAAAGGAAATGTAATTAAATTAAGTAAAACTGTAATTAAAATAAAAGCCTCTTATTTATCCTACGTAATTATCGTTCGTACAACTTTACTCATCTTTTTTTAATTTTATGTCTTTGTACTTGAGTTAGTTGTAACTTTTATACCTCAAATAAAAGCTTGTTAGATAGAGATATTATTTCTATAATTTGCACATTTCATTACTAGGAGATTTTTTACAGAAATATGCATTTTTTATCGAATAAGTTAGTAAAAAAATAAGAAAATCATACATTTCAAACGCGTAATTTTAATACTTTTGTAAGTTTTCAACATTTTATTACTTATTATGAACTATTGGAATGTCCGTTATGCGACGATAAAAAAAAACTTAAAATCAGACATGTAGATTTTTTGTATTTCAAATTTAAGCGTCTGAAATCGGAATAAAAAAAAAATAAAATTCAAATAACTCAAAATCTGTTAACTTCTGGATAGGACATTATAGGACAAAATCGGTTGCTTTTGACCTAATCTATCACCCCTCAATAAGAACACGTGACATTACAAGTACAAGTATTTTGCGTTTACGGCCACTGTAATGCTCATTTCAAAAGTTTGAATTAGATTAAAATTGTCCATAATAAAATTTTTTACATTAAATTCTCTACTCCATCTGAAAAGATGGGGTACATAGACCCTCAAACATTGATGTTTTTCAGATATAGTACCCAATGGATCAACAGCTAATTATAAATTCCTATCAATATGTTATATCAATTATCTTCCTTTAAAAGTCCCTATCCAAATGAAAAAGTCATCTTAGTTTTCGTTGAAAACTTTTTATTCAGGAGCAATCCTCGATGCTCCAGAAAGTTTATACAGGTGGCTCGTTCCTCCCTTAGTCGCCGATTGCCACTACACTTTTGCATCAACTAAAACTTCCAGCTTATGTGCAGACAGACCTACTGTTTCCTCCACCTTCGCAAGCTGTTATTTACACATTACTCGGCAGCCGTTCACACGGAAAATCCCCATTAGTCGACGACAGAGACTAGGCTGACCTATTGTCAGGGTAACCTACGAGGCAAAATTACCACTGCAGAATGCCCAGTCGGACATACGGCAGCGGAATGTCACGCCTCAAGGGTTCGGGACCAGCTAAACGGGTTAGGGTTAGGACATCCCTATGCTGGTTATCGGTCGAAAGCTGGAATGAGGCTAATTTCGTGGATTTGTGTCTCCTGTGCACTCAGGCACTTCCGTTCCGGTGGTCGCTCATAGACGGTGGTTTTTGCATCGAGCGGATAGCAAGGAGACATTCAAGTACGTGCATAGGAGTACGTTACCGCAATTCTTGCTTTTACGCTGTGTTATTGACTGTACCGCACGGGTATCACGTATCTTGACAAGGGACATTTTTTTGACATTATGCTGTTTTTTTTGACATTATGTAGGTTATTCTACAAGATGTTAACTTAGCACTTAGTTGTACGTGTTGCTTAAACGTAATGAGGCTTGTTATCAACCTTTGGCTCTGATGTGATATAAAATCTGAGATGGCATTACTGGAGGTCTAGGCTGTAAGTTGTATGTGTTGATGATAATTACATTGGGTTATTGTCTCAGATACACTTAGTTGAGATTTAAAGCTAGAAATTAGTTGCGCATCCACTTTTTCTTATCCATTGTGGAAATTACATATACAAATTTGCTGAATTTCAAAAATGAGAGAGATAAGAAATAATTATATCCACTGTACACTGTCGAATTACAAGCCATATGCATACTAATAGTAATTACACACGACGCGGGCGCGGTGATGATTTCCCGTAATTCTCCTCAGTTTTCCGTAATTTATAACTTTGAACATAACCTCTCTTCAGAAAGCACAACATATAAATAACCCGTCATATTCAGCATATTCAGTAATGCTTTTCTCACACAGCAAATATCTCTGATTTTATACACGTGCAGACGAATACACATAATCATCCAGATGCGATCTTGCTACCCGTATTCAACCAACTTTCTTCTCAGAGATAAAAACCACAGACCTCACAAAACTATGCAACCAATAATGCGTAGTTTAGTTGAGTGACTTCTGCATAGATGGACGTTCACAACGATCCTAGTGAGCAAACTTGGAATGACTGTTTGCGCCCTAAAGGCTACCTAGTCTGCAAGTTGACATCTTATAGGTGTTTTTTTTTGACGTTTTATAGGTTTTTTACATGATACAAGTGCCGGTGTCGTTAATTTATAAGGGCATTTACTTGTCTGTTTTCAAAATTCAGGCAGCGTGGCATTTTATCAGACTGCTAGATTATTTTTGTAGGTGACATCCCATATCAGATAAAACGCCCTTTCCCATCATTCCATTTGCATTTTATAGATTATGTGTTTACTTGATATAACGACTCATTCATTTCATTCTCTCCCATATTGACTGAAGTCAAAATCTCCATCAAGTAGCCATCTAAAGGAGCAGCATTGAAAGGCTTCTTTTCAAAAACGGCTCATTTTATCGAAGTGAAATAAGAACACACATTTCCTATCTAAATGGCCAGGTTTTTCAAAAAAATCATCCATTATTATGCAAGGTGTGAAAAATATCAGCAATATTTCGTTAGAGGCTAGGGAGAGTCTGTCCCTGGCGATCAGAATGAGTCAATTATTAGATGTGTCCTTATTTTGTTATTAAAGAAAAAATGGCGTCAAGTAGATTGACTCTACACTTCCTACGTCTCCATTAGATGTTTCAAAGAAAAGAGGTGAGTCAAGTCGTCACAAAGGACAAAATCGAATTGTGATTGCGATCTCTACATATCAAACCATATGAAGTATATCTATCATATTCCTGTTACCATAGCAGATGTAGGGAGAATATGTGTGTCTTGTTATGTCTAACAGGTGCATAGCATCACTGAGATGAGCAGCTTCTTAATAATAGAAGGTTTTTCTCTGACACAAAATATGCAAAAATTTCCATCCCACAATTTCCAACCGCTCCCAGCAATGCCAGAAAATGAGCAGGAATCACTGAAACGTTGCAGCTGCATCGTTTCCCCAATGCCAACGATTGCAAGCGATTCCGTAGTATGAGCACAATATACATTCATTTATCATTTAATTTTCCCGCTGCTACCGGAATCAAAAGCTTATTCATAATAGAACGTCTTTTACTAATACTTAGATGTCACATCTACAACCACCTACCGCCTACATTCCCCAACCACAATTCTCAGAGGCCTCTGGAACGTCAGAAAACGAAGTCTGACCGATTTTTATCGTTTTCAGCTCTCCACTCCACCGCCACTGGACCGATTTTCAAGAACAACAAAGCTTTTTGCATAGTAGTAACATTCTGTGGAAATTTCATCAAAATCCGAGCGGTAGTTTCCAAGTTATAGAGGGATCAAGGAGTAGCGGACAGACATACAGACCGACAGAAATGAGTGACATGGTTTTCCGCGATGTACATGTCACATAACACCCAAAAAACATAATACCTCAATTGCGAAATTTTTT